TTCCTATCGCAATCAGGAAACAAGCACGTGTATATCAGTGTCGTCATGGATCCAGAATCTGTGGCAGGCTGCAGGTGGGGTAGGCGATGGAAACAAACAGTTGCTGCGAGAGCACACACCGCTGAGTACTGTGCTGCTCACCGCAGGTGTCTATCGGGCTACCAGTGCACTTCTGTGGAGTCTCCGGACGTCGTGGTCTGGATATCGACATCATGCTGTTCAGTGAACCATCGCGCACCGGTGTGCGCGGTGCTAGACACTGTGAATTCAGCCAACACAGCGGATATTACATTCGAGGTAGCGAGCCTTGGCGACCACTAGCACCGACTCGAGTACGTGCTAGTCCGAGATCGAGCCAGATATTTGGGTTCTCGGGTACCTCACCAGATGCAAGCAGATATGGGTCTCCGAGATACACGCGGGGGAAAATTTAGGAGTGTGAGGGCAAAAGCGGACGTCCTGGGTTAGCCAGAGTGAGGGCGAGAACGAACGGACAGATCGAGCCACGGCGGCTCTGAACCTCCTTACCAGAACAGGCAGGCGCGCAGCCTGATAACCATTCCCACTGTGCCTGCTTGCGCACGCACACCCCTTGGACAACCTCTCTAACCACGGCTGGCTCAAATACCTGGCTCGACGTCTTTATGGCGTTGAGTATTGCTTAGCGACCTGCGCAAGGGTGACGTCTCCCCAGATCTCGGCTGCGGGGTCAGCCGAGAGCGCCGCCGGGCGTGGAACCGCCTCCAAAGCATCTGAGATCGGCGACCCACTGTAGCCATTCGCGTTTACTCATAAATGATCCCTAGATGTTGTATCAGAGCCCCGTGTATCTTTCCCTATCAGTACAATGATTATACGAGAGGCAGAAGTGCAGTCGGGCAGGAATAAAAGTGTGCGGAGCATACCGAGGCTGCACACACTCCCGTTCCTGTTCCCTTCATTTCTGGTCGAATGAGACTGATCTCATGTTTGGCCGGGCTCCGAAGAGCGTGGTGTACCCGGCGACACAGCCGAAAATCAAGCGGCGATGGACGTCGAGGCCATGCAAGAATGAATCACGGAGCACCCTGAATTTTGACACTTCCTGAGTAAAGCCTGATCACGCCGCCCACCATCCGCCGCTGTGTGATTGGTCCAGCGGGAAGAAATGAGGTGATATGCTACAAGCGAGCGGGTAGCTAGTACGAGTCCAGAACGAGCGTGATCCAATTGCAGAACCCCTCGTAACGGTAGCCGCTTGCCGTGACGGTTCACCCTCCCACCGGTGGTGTCCACATGCAGCACAGGACAATCCCGCTCCGTGTCTAGACGGACATCGTCCAGGGCTGGCCACGCACCTGTGTCGTTCGACTCAGACGTGGCTTGCATCCTTTTCCACTTCCTCGCCCTACTCTCACTTCCCTCCTACATCCGCACCCGCATCTGGAAACTCCTCCCTATCGCTATAGTACTACAGGAACACATTCAACGCCGTACACAGCTCACAGCACTGAAGATCTCACAGGGAACACACATGGCCTGACCAGACCACAAGAGACCATGGTACGGAAGCTTCGGGACACATGACAACGGATCCGGCGGTACGTCAATCTCGCCGCTCGTCTCCAAGGCTCCCCTCATCGCGTGAACGCGACAGCCCTCCCAGCATGAAGACCGTGTTGCAAGACAACGGCCAGACGACTCACGAGGCCGCACGAATCGCCCTGGACAAAACGCGCACACACAGTGTGCCTCACATCGTGTGGCAGGACGCTGGATGTGTTCGGGGAGCTGGCGGCACTTTGCAAGCACGGCGTGTGCTCGTCACCACGTTCCGATAGCGTGATCTGCACGAAGGTGAGCCTCACGGCATGCACAGCAGCGTGAGCTGACCGATGACACCACTCCCGCGCTACAGTTCCATCCACCTCCCTACTTGCGACTTGCAGCCGTACCACTCACGACGGTGAGGATTCCAAGACGACCGCATCCGGGCGCGTTCCCAAACACACCCGGGCGCGTGCAGCAAACTTCTCCTGTGGAAGCGACGGCGAGCAATCCTCATCTGCGAGTGGGCACTCGGACAAGCCCATCACCTTCACACGCAGCTCTCTGGGGCGTCGATGTCGCCAGAGAACCCCTTCTTGTCCGGGAGAGTGCAGGAGCATCTCCCCAACACACCTGCGGTGCACGGTGGGTCAGGCGACGGGGAAACCTACGGTTGACGGCACCGGGGACCTCGTACGATGGCTCTGCGGTCCCGCTCGCTGCTTGCGGGTGCAACACCTACCGCTCAGCTTCGTGCCCGTGCCGGCCCGCGAAGAAGGACGTGCTCGCCCTTGCACAAGCAGCACGAGCGGCGAAGTCACGGTCCCGAGCGGGGTACTCGGAGAAGCTCAACTCTTGCGTCACTCTCGGGTGCGCTGGAAGATCCCCCGAGCACACGCCCGGAACGTGGAGAGCGAGGCGAGGCAAGCGGACTTACGGCGGGCAACATTGATGATCTCGTACGCGCAGCCTGCGGAGCTCCGGGTCGAAGCTCGCAAGCAGACAATGTACCACTCACCTTCACGGACACGCCTGGAAGTGATCCCGCTGCTCCCCTAAGTGGTCCTGCGCGGACGTCCCATACATGCCATGTTCGTTGCAACGGGTGGGGGATGTACCCGCTTCGTGTGGCGGACTCGAGCTGAGGAGTGCAGTGCCGCCACGCGGGCGCTCCCATCTCCTGGTCAAGCTCGGAACAGGCACCCCCGGGGCGCGGCGCGGACGACCGTCCCGGTCGACGCAGTTGCCCATCTCGCCACGGCGTCGCATGTGGCGAGTTGCACTTCCAGGCTATGGCGTCATCTTCGCGCTCGTCGAACAGAACGGACTCCGCGCTCGCGGCACCCACTCGAGTCCAGGGTGCTGGGGTACCCGCATCGACACCGGTGGCTCGCGTGCGAGGTCGCAAAATCAGCGCTGCGCGGGCTCGCGCCGCGAAGAATTTGTCAAAACGGTGTTAAACTGACCGGGTGCGCACATACCTCCGTTTCACGCGCACGGTACTCCTTGAAGTTGACAATGATACTCCTGCAGCGCGCACCCACCGTCAAGTCTCTCGCGCGACGTCGTACGGGCGCTCCCATCACCTGTCAAGTGTGTCCCGATAGCGTGGCGCGGAGGACGGCTGCAGTCGACCGAGCTGGCAGCCTTGCCCCTCTGCAGCGGAGGGTGGGCGATTCTCACCTTTCGGCGCTGGTGTTCCTGTCTCCCTGGTTGCGCAAAGTGGACTCCGTGGGCACAAGCTTGAGTACTAGGGCACTGGCATCTCGCTCGGACCTCCGCGCACCGCCGGATGGAGTGCGAGTCTGCGAGGTCGCGAGCACTGTAGTCAGAACGGTACGAATAGTGTCCCAGGTGCGCGACATACCCTGTTTCGTGTGTACCGTGCTCACTCGGCCGGCCTAGAAGGACGCGGACGTCCCGCGCAGCCGTCGCGAGCGGAGAGGTCTCCCGCGCGGGCACTCCCATCGCCTGTCAAGCGTCTCCCGGGAGCGCGGCGCGGCGGTCCGTCCCGGCCAAAGAGGCTGCAAATCTCGCACAGAGCGTATGACGACTCGCTCTCTGGGAGTACGGCATCCTTCGCACGGCCTTCCTCAAGACGGTGCCTAGTGGCTACATCTCCACGAGCACTGTGTGGGAGTGCGACGAAGCCCAGCGGATGCTCGCAGGTTCACCTGGTGATACGAAGGCCTTGGGCCGGAGTTCACCCACGATACGGCAAGAGCCTCGGCCTCGGGCGCGCGACATACCTCTCTCACGCAGCTTCTGTCTCTACCGCAACTTTCCCCGTCCCTGCGGCGCGAGCCCAATTGACGCCGCAAGCATATAGTCATTCTGCCCGAGGTAAGATGGCGAGCGCGGGCCGCCGCGAGCTCTCGCGGTCCCCCGGCTAAGCGACGGCAGGGTGAGCGCCATTTTTGTCTTGCGCGAATCCCGGTGTGTGGCTGATTGTGCGATACTACCAGGTAAGCAGAGCGTCGCCAGAAACGAGCCCAGGAGCGAGAGCGAGCAGGCGAGGCAGGCCGTAGTTGTGGTGCAGAGCAGAGACGCGGCGAGAGGCACGCCGCGACTTGGCCGTTTCGAGCAGTGCCGGAATAGGCGCCCGTTCTGCGCGGCGTGCGCGAAGTGGTTTCTGGGTCGTTCTGGTGGGGATAGATGCGCGTTTTTCGAGTTCCTTGCAGTGTATCAACGTAGTGTATCAATGGGAGTTTTCTGAACCACAGAGAGCGAGTCCGAGTCCGAGTGAAGTCCTCCCAGTGCCTCGTATCCTCCCAGTGCCCGCTCCCCGTACCTCCTAGTACCCACGCACGGCGTCTACCTAGCCCCCAGAATCCACGCAGAGGACAGAATTCCATCTGGGAGATCTACAAGCATCCGCAAGATACCCCGCCAGCCGAGATCCCCCTCGTCCGTCCGCGCGAGTCCTTGGCGCCCACGTCCCCGCAGATCGCGTACGCCTGCCCCGCACCGCCACCACGCACCGCCACGCCGCGCACACAACTCCATCTCGCCCGCGCCCTGCGCATTCGTGCCCAACGAAATATATTTCTGTCCTATGTACACGCCGCCCCCTGTCGGCACTCCGCCCCACCTGCACTAGGAGTAGGGTCGCCGCTGTGCGCGGAGGACCCGTCGCCCTCGGTGCCTGTGTCCACCTCCGCGTCGCTGCCGCTGGGCTCGCGGGACCGGACGTGCGCCCACGGATCCGGGTGTTCGTGCTCGGGCGTAGTGAAGGCAGGGGAAGGGGAGCCTGTACGGTCTACGTCCCATTCGTTGCCGGCGCTCCAGT